GGTTGGGCTAACAAGCAAGTTTAGATTAGGCAAACATCCTCTGGGGAAGGCACATCCTGCAAACAAGCAAGTTATCCTGCAAACAAGCAAGTTTAGATTAGGAAGACATCCTGTTCTACTCTTAGAGTTACCTTTGATTTTTCTCTAGCCTCCAGGGAGACTTATGAGGGAGTTTTTCTTTAATATATAGGTTACAACAGTGATGTGACAGTGATGATGGTGATGGTGGTGGTACCGATAAGACAAGAATGAGAGTGATAAGGGGGGATGAAAACACAGTAATCATGATGGCAAGGATGATGTGCTCCTTGAGATGCTGATGAGAATAGTCTTGAGGAGGAGGCTCTTAGCAGTGCCTTCGTGGAGGCAGAAAGAGGAAGACCACCCAGGAAACTAAAGGTGTGAGGCTGAAAGCAATACAGGATTTGGAGTGTGACATAGCTGTGTGTTACTATTTCTTGCTATGTAGCCTGGGGAAATTAATTAATCTCATGTTCACTTCAATTTCTTCATCTTCTGTAGTGTTTCTGAGAACAAATAATGTGCATAAAAGTTTCTGCACCAATGAGTGACTATGTCCATTCTCCGCACTTCATCCTTGCCAAGTATGCACGCATCCAGGTGTGAATGATGAGTGTGCTGTGGGTGGAGATTTCTCCTGCTGCTCCGCTCCTGGCCCTGGTCAGGTGATGTGACCAGTTGCTGAGAGACACTGTATCACTGCCAGAATCCCCAGAGCTGCTTCTATCATCCTGGATGACTTGGTAGTCATGTCTGTTGGCTGCTGGAGGGAGAAGCTGAGTGATTGGAGCTCCTGCTGGGGGAATGTGTGACCTCGCAACCACCTGCTGCCCACTCTTTGAGCCCTGAGCCTCCTTCTGGTGCCACAGTGAGTAAATCTTGTCCTAATACTGATCTGGGAGGAACAGCAACAGGAACTGTATGTACGGTACAGCTGGTTCTTAGTGACCCTAAGCCCCCTTGAAATGCCATCTTAGTCAAGGCACCTGACCTCTTTCAGCCTCCGTTTCCCACCTTCCTTCCCTCGTCCCCTCTCTGCAGAGCAGTGTGGGCTTTGTGAGATACTGAGCCTGGTGCCTTCACAATGAGTACATCATAAGTGATGTTACCCTGGGGCAGGGGAGGGCTGAGAGCTTGTTCTTCTGCAGTTTAAACACGTTTATAACACACACACACACACACACACACACACACACACACACACACACACAGAGTTTCAGTTTATATCCAGCTTCCTAGAAGGCTCCAGCATCTTGAGACTGTGAAGGTGCCATGAAAAACAAGATTAGATTTCCAAAAGGGGCATTCGCCCTGTGTGGCTCCTGTGTCAGTCCGTACACTGTCGAGCTGGAACCTACACAGTACATGGCTGTCTGGACTCGGGGGAGGGGGTGAGAGTGGGGATGAGCAGTCATCAGCAGCTGAGCGTGACCCCCTGGGGAGAGTCAGTGTCCCTGCTGCTCCATGCCCTGCAAATGCAACCTATCCACTCTGGGCTGGCCCTGGGCACACCACATGCTCATTCTGGACGGAGGCCAATCTGGGGCAGGTGAGGAAGGGCAGGCAGGAAAGAGTGGTCTGTTCCCTCCGAGATTGCTTTATGTACTTTTCAGTCATAAACTGGTTCTCAGCAGAAGGCAAGCTGTTTATTGCACTTAGGTCATTCATCCCAGAGTTAAGCCTCTCCACTTCCCACGGAGCTTGTGCTTGTCACTGCTGTTGCAGACTATCAGAAGGATTCAGCTCTTGGCCACAATTTTACTCATGGATTTTCATTAACAGGTTTCCTTTTCTCAGGGAGTCTGCATTCAAAGACAAGGGCCTGCAGGACTGTTCTGCAGAGCTAGACACTGGAGGGCACCAGGACCCCACCCAACATGTCTGTGCGGAGGCCTCTGCCCTCTTGTGGGCCTGGGGCCAGTTAGACTTGCATCGGAGTTTACAGAAGCACTAGGGAATACTTGAGGAGTGTGGGTGGAGCAGCAAAAGCAGGAGGCAGATTCTGTGGCCTGACATAGTGGTTCGCCCAGAGGGAGATGAGCATCCTCAGAACCACTCTTCAGGACTTCACTGTAATGCATCGCCAGATGAGGCTAGGTAGCTCTGGACAGGGCAGAAGCATACATCAGAAGGCAAGGAGTGTGGGGATCCTTGGAAGAGCAGGGCTATTTCCACAACTCTGAAAAGAAGGTAGAGCTCATTCCAGGAGGGGCTTATGGATGGGAAGAAGGCATCTCAGGCAAACTCCCCGCTAATTTTCCCTGTGAGTGAGCTCAGGGTGGCTCCACTTTTTCATGCCTTATCCATCCTACTGTGTTCCAGAGCTCTGAGGGCAGAGCCAGCCTAGGCAGCACATAGGAAAAAGACTTTCTTGTGGTGAGCTCCCGTCACCATGGGGGACCACTCTACCTCCTCAGACAGGTTTATGGTCACCACAGGCCCTTGGAGGGGACACAGAGGTCCAGAGGAGCTAAGTAATTGGTCAAGACCACACACAGGAGGTAGAGCCATATTTCTTCTGAAGACCAGGGAGGACAATACCACCATGCATTGAGACAAAGGAGGTGGGCAGGAAGTGGTCCAGAAGCCCATTGCCAATGGACCAGGTTGGTGCTGAATTTCATATCCTGACAAGATCCAGGCAGTATCCATTCATGTGTCAAGGCCTAGGGTTTCAAATCCGTCTCCTTCTGACCCTAAGCATTTTCTGCTCATTCTCAGAAAGCTTACCCTGAAATCACTACCCCATAGAGTGGTCAGTCTGCCAGGGTTGAAGGTGGCTGGTGGGCCGAAGTATTCTTTGTGGGCACAGCCAGTTTCAAAGTGATGGCAAGGAGGTCTGTTAGCAGGGTGAACCTGAGGCCCAGAGGGACTAAATGTGGAGAGGGACAATATTTGTTAGGCATGTACCTCGGGCTCTACAAACCTAGTGCCACTAAGTTTGTTATGTGCACATTAAAGTTGATCCAAACAAAATAGAGAATAGAATAGGGATTCTCAGAGCCTTAGAAGTGGGGAGAATGAGAGAGGATGCTTAATAAGTAGAGGAATACTGTGAAGGAGGGATAGCTTCCAGTGTTCTTTAGTACCATCAGGTAAATATGGTTGACGGCATTTAATTGAATATTTCAAATTAGCTAACTGAAAAGATTTCTAATGCTCCCAACACAAAGAAATGGTAAATGTTTGAGGTGATCCATATGCCAAGTATTCTGCTCTGATGATTACTCTGCATACATGAAACGTCGCAGTTTACCCTGTAAATCTGTTCAATTACTAATGTCAATTTTTAAAACTCGATTAATAAAAAATCCCTGAATTTTTGCCATGTCTCCATTGCTGTCAGTTTGGACAGTACCATCTTTCCCAGATCAGGAAACTAACACAGAGAAATGAACAAGCCTTTCCAAGGCCCCAAGCCAGCACAGTGCGGGGTGTGGAGGGCTATTGTAAACCCAAATATCGAGTTCAGGCACCCAAGTATTGTAATCCTCTTTCTAGTTTTCCTCACAATCCAAAAAGTTATATTTGTAATCCCATTGAGACGTTATTGGAATCCTAACAAGTTAATTCCAATCTACCACCACCAATGCAACCCAAGGTGAGAGCAAACACACTAAGATGTGTTTCAAGTTAAGGGAAGCCAAGGGGTCCTAAATCCAATCCCAAAGAGGATATGCAGACAAAGGCCTGGACCCTAGGCCTCTCCCAAAATTTATTATCTTGTGAAGAAGGGGGGTGGCTAAGGGATGAGTGACAGTTAGGACGGTGGGAATAATAGGAGTAATTGAGCAGGCTGGCCAGGTGCAAGAATGGCTTCTCTGTAAATTGCAGAGATAAAGATATGCAGGTGAGTCAATTTACATAATCCAATTAAGTAACAGTGGACTTGTTTTGAGAGACTGTTGCTTTGGTTTCTAAAATGCAAACTCTTGTGTCCTGGGGAATCATAGCCTCTTACCTTGAGGCTCCCACCCAGCTGACATTCCCCTAGCTATTTGCTCTAACTTCCCCTGTGCTCATATCCTGTATGTATTCTGTATTGTATGGAGAACACTATGTGAGGAAACAGGACTGACTGTTGGCTTTAGAGATTACATATTACACCTTGGCTAGCCTTATTTGCAATGCTTAATGCCAATTGAGAGAGGGGAAATATCCTAGCCAGCTATTTACATATCAGTGTAAGGAAACGAGTCTCCAAATAATCAAAGTCACAGTAATTGTTTTGCATTCAGAGGGAGTCACTGGAGTTGTCTCCCACAGAGGGTGAGAGCTCCATTGAGCCAAAACCCAAGGTGGTATCAGCCACCTGGGTGGGGGTGGGGGGCTCACCAGAGTACATCACCCCACAATCAACTTGTCCCATGTGCCTAGGAATCTGTTGTGCACTTACCTCTTCCCTTGCATTCCTCTCCACCAGGTCCTATGCATCCCCCTGCCATGCCTCCTCTTCCTCAGGGGCAGAGTGATTCCCACCACACAGGAAACCCATACAAGGCAGCTGATGGTTTGTGGCTGCAGAGAGCTCGCACATGGAGCCCTGAGTGGGACACACATGTGACTATACACATGCAGGCATGTGAGCATCTGCACACACACACACACACACACACACACACACACACACACACAGAGTAGGGGTGGCCAGGTTTGGGCCTGTGAGGAGGAATGAATGTGCCCAGGCTCTTTCAGAACAGCCTCATTTTCTGAGACCCCAGCAGGCCTGCAGCCTGGCGGGTCCATGGTCCAGCAAACCTTGCTCACTGGTGGCTGCTGCTTCCATCTGGCCGGCAGCCTGGAACCCAGACTAATGGAACGAGCCTTCATTGTGCACTGCCTGCAAGCCAGTCTCACCACTGTGGGTAGCTCAGGGCTCAGTGTCCCTGAGGAGTAATGCGGCTCGTATGTGCACAGCCACAGGTGCAGAGAAGTATGAACACAGCAGCCATGTCGGAACTCAATTTCACACTGTTATTTTTATTTTTGTTGAAGCAGTCCTTCCTAAGGCCCAGCCTGGCATCTCTGCAGAAAAGGAGCACCACCAGGACCCCTGAGGGACAAGTCAGCACACCAGACAGGCACAAAACAGACCACCTGCAGCCTGCCACCCCTGCTGGAAACATGGGGAGCAAGCTGGTACCGTGTTCCCAGTGTACCACAGCCTGGCTGACTCCGTTCCAGTCTCTCAACAAGACATCTTTCCTGTCCCAGGAAACTAGCAACACATCCCAGGGCCTCAGGGACACGAGGGCACCCATCTCGATGCTCCGCTGGCTCTTGCTTCCCTCAAGCCTCCTGGCTGCAGCCACGCTGGCCCTGAGTCCCCTGCTGCTAGTGACCATCCTGCGGAGCCAGCAGCCGCGGCATCAGCCCCACTACCTGCTGCTAGCCAATATCCTGCTTTCAGATCTCGCCTACATTGTCTTCCACACACTCATCTCCTCCAGCAAGCTGGGTGGCTGGGAGCTGGGCCGCATCCTCTGCGGCATTCTCAGGGATGGCGTCTTCGTCGTCTATCTCAGCACCATCCTGTCCTTCACAGCCACTGTGCTGCATGCCTACCTGGCGGTCACTCATCCTCTGCAGTACCTCTCCTTTTTGTCTGGAAGGGTCACAAGGAAGACACTGGCCCTTATCTGGCTGGTGGCCTGTTTCTTCCCCACATTTCTCCTTTGGTTTGCCAAGCGGCAGGATGCCAATCTGGAGGTACAAGGGGCCATGTGCACCCTGCCTCTGAACCTGGACATCAAGCAGAATCATGGCTCCCTGGTCACAGTCACCCACACCTGCACCCTGTGTGTCCTCTTTCTTTGTGCAGCTGTCATTACCTACTGCTTCTGGAGGATTTATGTAGAGGCCAGGCCTTCAGGCGTCTGCACTCAAGGCTACTCCCGAGCCAGGGGCACCCTGTTCATCCACATGGTGCTGATCACACTCTATGTGGTTGCAGGTGTGGTGTTCTCCCTGGACGTCATACTGACCAAGTACCACCACCTCAGTGCCAGCACTCACACATGGCTCCTGGCAGCCAACAGTGAGATATTCATGATGCTGCCCCGTGCCATGCTCCCATACCTGTATATGCTCCGATACAGTCAACTGCTAGGGGTGATCCGGAGGCACTTCTCATCCAGGAGGCAGGGGAACATCTGCACCATTTCCCAGGGCTACCAAGCCTACAATTTGGCAGGATGATGTCAAAAATTATATGTCAAAGCACATTCCACTCTTTAGGGGGAGCTCAAGGGATGATTTTTAAATGTCAGTAGTTGTTAGTCAGAGAAAGCTATCTTTTTTTTTTTTTTTTTTTTTTTTTTGTCTTTTTCGTTTTTATTGGTACCAGGGATCGAACTCACGACTGCCTGCTTGCAAGGCAGGCGCTTATGCCGCTGAGCTAAATCCCCTGCCCCGAGAAAGCTATCTTGTAATAAAAACTCAGCTTTAGAATAAAAGCAAGTAAAGGTTATCCAACCAGGTACGTTGGATAGTGAAGATATAAATAAAGATATAGATATCATCCCTTATAGAGGGCAGCAGCAAGATCAGTTCTAAGGGGGCAAGGCCTTGACTGGTGACCCTGCGTGGCTTCTTCACGAGCTTCACTGCTAACAAACACAGAAGCCAGAACATTCTGTGAGCTAAAACCTGGAGAGATCTCAGGCAGATCTGTAGATTCCTGAGATTTAGGCCTCTGCTCAGGCAGCTGCTCAGGGTAAGGGAGTGCCAAGAGGACCTGCGCAGGACTTGCTTAAGTGGGAAGTGTCACAGAGACACCACTATAGAACTGGAATTGCAAAGTATTATCCTCAGCACAAGCAAAGATATAAGACATTGAAAGGGTTTTGGCCGAGGCGGGATACTGTAGCCTGTAAAGCCAAAGAGCTCCTATCTCCCCCTCCCTTAGGAATCTGCTCCTGGTGCCAAAGACCAATGGGCTACCTGTGCATCCCTAATGGCCCCCTTAGGTTCCACCCCAAGCCAAGGCTACTTATGTGCCTCACTCCACGTGTTCCACGGAAAGATTGCAGGCCCAGGTGTGGAGATGCCACGCCCCAGGGTGTTGGGGGTATCTCTCCCCACATTCCCAGAATAAAGGTTATATTTCATACTTCTTATCTTTTCAGCTGCCGCCGGTCCCCTCCCCCCCACCAGTTCTATCAGACATCAGGCCTGATAGAGAGCAGCAGCAAGAGAGCTTGACTGCATAAGTGGTTCTGTGCAGAGGAAGGACGATCTTTGAGAATTCTTAAATAAGAACTACCTTGCAAGCAAGGTCAGGGAAGGTCTCACTGTACTTCAGGGATCAAAAAACTGTTTTCTGTGGTTGGCATGTGTCTCCCAGAGGATCTGAGCTTCAACTCAGAACCCAGAGAATTTGCACCATAAAAGAACCTTCAAACAATAGCACATAGTCAAAACTCACAAAACCATTCAAGAAAATAATTTTCTGTGAATAACAGCAAGAAGAAGCACTAAGACTATAGCATTGCACCATATCTCCTTGAATTTTCAGAACCTAAGCCAGGGGTGGTGGCCCAGCTGTCACCCCAGCACTCTGGCTGGCTGAAATAGGAGGACTGCAACTTCAAGCCTAGCCTGGGCAACTTAGTGAGACTAGGTTTCAAAATAAAGAATAAAAAGGGCTGAATGTAGCTCAGTGCTAAAGGTGAAGGCTCAATCAACACACCTCCACCAATGCTCATATGTTATAAGACATGAAAATTACACTAAAATATCAGGAAAAACAAAACAGCAACGTGTATTTTAAATATGCAGATCTGAGAAATAAATAGAACTGATTTTAAATAACTAATCAGATTTGGAAAAGAATTAAATAGGACTTCTAGGAATAAAATGCATAATAATTAGAATTGGAAAACGTGAATTGCACTTAATATACATTCGACAGCATATGAGAAACAAGAGGGAGATCTTACAAAGTGGGAAACAAGTCCAGATAAATTACGACAATGCAGCCCAGAGATGAGCAATACAAAAGAGGGATTCAGAGACACTGAAGTAAAAGCAGGAAAGGCTTAGCACGACTTCTCATTTGAGAATTCAACAGAGAAAATGCAGAAGGACAACTATCTGGAAGAGATTACAGTTGATAATTTTTTCAGAATTGGCAAAACATATCAGATCTACAAATCCAACAATCTACAAGTAAGATAACAAAGAATTCATCTGAGAGGCCAAGCACAAGCAGCATATATTTAAAGTAGGCAGAGACAAAGACAAGGAGACATCACCTAACAGGTAGCTGAATTCCCCAAGATCTGTGACGACCAAAAGCAATGGTAATAATGGTGTCAATGTGCTGAGAGAAAAATGGCCATCAACCTAGAATTCTATGTATAAGAAATTATCTTTTCAGAAGGTAGGCTACAATGTAACATAAAAATGAAATAAAATGTCCTAACAATACACATCGTTTTTATTTCAAAAAGAAAACAATAAAAACAATGATACAGAATTTCAAAATAATAGGTTAATATATTGTGTAATTTTATCTTCAAAGTAGTTGCTCAGATTATAAAATATAGGTAGGCAAAAATGATCAAACAATATAAGCACAAACCATTCTTTCTGTTGAACCAATAGAGATTAGTAGTGTAATTACCAAATCTATCATATATGTAGTATATATTTTCTTCTTCCTTCTCGCTTTTCTTCTTTTCCTATCCCAGGTGTTCTTTCCCTTTGAATACTTTCTTCCCTTTTCACTTTCACTATATCCACTGTACATTTTGAAACATTTTATTCTTGTAGTTTTTTACACTAGGGAGATAATAGGATGTTCACACATGTGAGTCTGGTTTACTTCACTTATAATTATGGACTCTAGTTGCATCCACTTGCCTATAGAAGTCTTGAAATTATCCACTTTTTATAACTAAGTAGTACTCCATTGTATAATATATCACAACTTTGTTTTATCCATTCCACAGTGGATGGTCATTCGGAGAGTTTCTAAGACTTAGATATTACAAATTGTGCTATTATAAACATAGACGCACATATGTCACTGTGGTATGATGTTTTTAATTATTCTCGGCAAATACCCCGAAGCGGAGTAGCTGGATTGAATGGAAACTCCACTCCTAGTTTTCTTGGATTTTACCAGTGTGCACTCCCACAGACGGTGGAGAAGGGTTCCCTTTTCCCCTACAGTCCCTCCAACATTTGTTGTTGGCTGATTTCTTCATCTTGGTCATTCTTTCTAGAGTAAGATGGAATCACAGTGTTGTTTTAATTTGCATCTCTCAAATGACCAGTGATGTTGAACATTTTTTCATGTATTTATTTGCCATTCATATTGGATGTTCATTTTGGACTGGGTCTTTGAATTTGGGAGCCTGATTTTTATCAGTTCTTTGTATGTTCTCAATAGAAGTCCTTTGCCTGAGGAATAATTGACTAAGGTTGTTCCCTAACTTGTAGGTTTTCTTTTCACTCTGTTGGATTATTGTTCTGATGTGCAAAAATTTTTTAATAAGATTAGATCCCAGTTGTTGATTCTAGGAAGTGTTTCCCACACACTTTGGTTTTTATTCATTAACTCTCTGCCTACCCCTATGTCTTCAAGATTTTTGGCTACTTTGTCTTCCAGTAGAGTTAGTGTTTCTGTTTTGATATTTAGATCTTTGATCCATTTGACTTTAGTTTACTGCATGGTGGTAGACATAGGTCTAGTTTTAGTCTTCAGCATGTTGAAAGCCGATTTTACTAGCAATGTTTATCTTTTTTCCAGTGAAGATATTTGACCAGTTTGTCAAAGATAAGGTGACTGAGTGTCTTTATAGTTGTGTGTGTATCTTCTATTGTGCTCCATTGATCTCCAGGTTCTTTTTATTTTCGGCCAATACTGTGCGGATTTTATCACTGTATCTTTGTAGTATAATTTCAAGCTGGGGATGTGTTGCCTCCTGCCTTGCCTTTGTTGCCCAGGATTGCCTTTGATATTCTAGATCTTTTCTGTTCGCGAGCAATTTTAATAACTTTCAGAAAACTTTAAAAGATATATGTCGAGTAGAAGAAAATAATCTGAGGTAGAAAATTTGAAATGTAGGAGGAAATAGAAAAACCTGGAAAATGATTAAACCTGAACAACCATTATCTACCTGGTAAGTGCTATACAAAAGCAATACAAATGTTGAACTTAGCAGTTTAGCGGAGAAAATGTACTGTGCAACCACGACACGCATGGGAGTGTAGTCAAGCATTATGAGGTCTGGGAGCACCGCGAGAGAGGGGGTGCTGACCTAAGATTTTGTTAAGCATGCCTGTTACAACAACTGAGGTAACCATGAGCAAGCTAAACAAAAAGAAGGTAACTTTCTGAATAGTCTCTAAGGATTAAATGAAATGAGTAAGAGAAAACAAGTCATCCAAAACAAGGAAAGTAAAAATGTGCAGAGAATCCAAGACAAATAAAAAGCAAGAAATCATATAATCCAAACAACAAATTTGAATGAACTAAAACAATACATTTAAAAGGACTAAAATTTGATAATGAAAAGACAAATGTCTGTCAGTTTTCTTTTGAATCAGATATCAGAGGTTACTCTTCAAATGACAGAATGTTTGGAAGTAAAAATATAGACTCGAAGTAGATAAAAGGTATATAAAGCAAATCTCACTAAATGAAGGCTAATAGAAATGACAAAATAAACTTTAAAGGAAAATATTTCCAGAGTAGGTGGGGCTGTGGTGAATAAGGAACACTTCTCCACTGTTGGAGACTGTAGAGTGATATTTCTACTGTGGAGATTTCCCAAAAAGCTAGGATTGGAGGTTCCATTCCATCCAGAAAATACCCCATTTGGGTATTTTCCCAGAAGAACTGAACACGTCATGCCACAGTGATATATGTGCACCCATGTTTATAGCTGTACAAATTGTAATAGCTAAATCTTGGAAACAACCCAAATGCCCATTAGCTGTGGAATGGATAAAAAAAATCTGTATTTTTATACAGTGAGATATTACTCAGCCATAGAAAAGGATAATCCTGAGGCTTTTATAGGTAAATGGATGCAATTTGAGACCACACTCATAGGTGATGTAAATCAGACTTGCACGTGTAAATATCAAATTGTCTCTCTAGTGTGAAAAATTTGAAAGAGTAAATAAGATCCAAAATGTAGCATAGATATTGTGAAAATGAAAAGGAAAGAAAGTGCTTGAAAGGAAAGAACAACTGGGATAGGGGAAAGGAGAAAAGGAACAAGAGAAAAGATTATAAATATATGTATATATAATATATATGTGTATATAATATATAATATATTACAAGATAAGTAACTATACTTCTAATCTCTGTTCATTCATCAGAAAGAACAGTTTGTGATTTCCCTGATTGTTTGACCATTTTTATGCCTAAATCTTGTAATCTGAATAACTATTTCCATATAACAATATACAATATATTAACTAATGTTAATTTCGTATTATTTTGTTTTGAAATTCTGTATCATGTTTTTTATTCTTTTTGCTGTTGTTTTGCTTTTAAAATTGAAAAAATGCCAGAATAAAGATATTTGCTATAAATTAAGTACATGAGCCAATTTATCAAAAGATAAAAAGTTAACACATACAGTACAAAAGGCTGACACTGTATAATGCAAAGTATCATAATTGTGAGAAAAATTAAAACAGAGAAGAATTTTAAACCTAATGATGAACAGAAAATAAGGATATAATATTTTAATGAACACTGCTAGCAACCTTGACTAGTGGACACATGTAAAATATGACTCTGGACAGCCTGCCTGAAATTTTAGGAATAATTGACAACACACTGTGCCACAAAGCAAGTCTAAGTTACATTATCTGAGTACATTTTAATTAAGCTGGGAGTAAATAAGAAAGTGCTAATTAAAATACGGTTGGAAATGTAAAAATCACTCTCTTACGCAATGAGTAGAAAAAAGACTAATCATGGAAATAAAATATTCAGAATTGAATAATAAAAAGTTATATATCAAAATGTATAATTTGTTGCAGGCAGAATTTTTAGGAATGTCCATGTATTTTCTAACCCAAAAGAAAATAATTTTGGGGGCTGGGGATTTAGCTCAGTGGCATAAATGTCTGCCTTGCAACAGGTGGTCGTCAGTTCGATCCCTGGTACTG